TTGGCTGGACTCTGGGTTTGTTTGTTTTCTGCGCATGTCCCATTGGCTGCGCTCCCGACTGAGCGGCTGTGAGCTTGTCTGCTATTGGCTTAGCCCAGAGAGGGTTGGTTTGGTTGTGGAAGGGATTTTTATCTTATTGCCTTTCCCATTGGCTGAGGGGAGGGATGTTATTGCCTTTCCCATTGGCTGAGGGGAGGGATGTTATTGCAGTTCCCATTGGCTGAGGGGAGGGATGTTATTGCAGTTCCCATTGGCTGATAGGAGGGATGTTATTGCAATTCCCATTGGCTGATAGGAGGGGTGTTATTGCAATTCCCATTGGCTGATGGGAGGGGTGTTATTGCAATTCCCATTGGCTGATAGGAGGGATGTTATTGCATTTTTCATTGGCTGAGGCCTGGGGGTATGGGGGGGGGGGGGTTGATGGTGGTGCATTTCCCATTGGCTAAAGGGGGGGGGAGAGAGATTTGTTAGAGCAGTTCCCGTTGGCTGAGGCCTAGGTTTGTTTGTGGGGGAAGGTGCATTTCCCATTGGCTGAGCCCTGGGGGATTTATTGTTAGACCCGTTCCTATTGGCTGATCGGGGTAGGTCTGGTTTTCTCAGGCAATGGGGCGCTGCATGAAGCAAGGCACCAGCGGCTTTCATGGAAACAGCAGCAGTCCGGGCTGTGGGCAAGACGCCAGCCCCACCCTGGCTGCCAGCTCCCTGGCGCTCGGGTGCTGGTCCCTGGGACGCGTTAGACCCCCAAATGCAGTGACGCGCACGGGGCTGCGGTTGGAAGGTCACGTTTCTGGTTTTCTCAGGCAATGGGGCGCTGCATGAAGCAAGGCACCAGCGGCTTTCATGGAAACAGCAGCAGTCCGGGCTGTGGGCAAGACGCCAGCCCCACCCTGGCTGCCAGCTCCCTGGCGCTCGGGTGCTGGTCCCTGGGACGCGTTAGACCCCCAAATGCAGTGACGCGCACGGGGCTGCGGTTGGAAGGTCACGTTTATTGGCTACCAAGACAAAACAAGGCTCCGTTTGGGCCTCAGAAGCCCCCAATTCCGGGCCCTGCCGAGGCAGTGGGGTGAATGGAAACTCACGAGAACAACCAATGGGCCGATTGTCTGTCCTGGCCCCAGCCGCCCACTCCAGCTGTGGTGTGCAGGGGAATTGCAGCCGAGACTACAGGTTTCGTGGGGTGGCAGAAACCCCAGTACGGTAGCAAAGGGGGTGGAGTGGCAGAGCCTGGGAGCTGGGAGGGGAAATTGAGGCAGAGCCCGGAAGCTGGGAGGGGAAATTGAGGCAGAGCCTGGGAGCTGGGCCGTTGAGCAGCCTTAGTTCTAGCAAAGTGGTGAGAGAGAAACAAGCATGGTGGGAGAGAGAGCAGGACTGAGGGCAGTGACCTGGGACGAAGAGTAAAAGCATCAGGGGAACAGGAAAGGGGGAACGAGGAGGGGGAGGAAGACTGGAGTTTGGGGGGAAGGAAAAGGGTGGGGCGGAGAAGGCAGGGGGAGACCCACCCGCCCTGGGCACTGCCGGTCCCCTGCCTCCAGGCCAGGCGGGGCGCTAGGGCCGGAAGATGACGTCGTAGGTGAGCAGGTAGCCGTCGCTGTACATGTACAGCTTGTGGTCGGCGGGGTTGTAGCTCAGGGACTGCACGACGTCGGTCACCTTCTCCAGCGGCAGGCTGAGGCGGCTCCCCTGGCCCGTGCG